TTACTAATTTTCAAAAAAAAAAAAAAATATAAAGAAGAAATAAAAGATAAATATTTAATTTTTTCAATTCTAAAAGATGATTATTATTATTATGACTATTATTAGATGACTATTATGACTATTATTATTTATTGTACAAATCTAAATTTTAAAAATTTTAAAAATCATATTTTTTAAAAAAAAAAATTTTCTGCAAATATCCATTTCTTAGCAAAGAAAAAATAAACATTTTAAATTTGAATTCAATCAATATCAATCTTTGCAAATTGAAAATATTAAAATTAAAATTTATTAAAATTAATTTTATTAAAATTAAAATTTATTTTAAGAAAGCAAAACAAAAAAATATGAATATAATATGAACAATAATTTTTCTAAATTTATTTGAAAATTTTAATCATAAATTATGTATATAAAAAAGTAAACAAATATTTATGCAATAAATAAAAAAATAAAATTTTTATTTACATTTCATTTGTTGATTTGCCCCTATTGCAAGTTGATAAAACACATGAAAATTTCTTTCATCCAAATTATGACAAGTGACTCTCGATTTTTCTAATAAGAAGTTTGAAATTTTTCCTCCATTGAGTTGGCCACCAGGACCAAATTGCATTTCTACATATTTTCCCTGAAATAAAAAATATATTTCACAAATATTTGCTCATTTATTTTATTAAAGTATTTTCTATTTTTTCTATTTTCATTTATACTAATAAAATAAAATTAAAAGCTTTAAAATTAAAATTAAAAGAAATTAAAGTAAAGATATAAATAAAATAATAATATATTAAAAATAATTATAGTAGTAAAATAAAAGTAATTATAAATTTACGTACAAATCTGCTACTGTTATTGTTCCGTATAGTCTTTGCATTGCCAAAAGCTTCTAAAAGAGGATTAGATTCCAAAATAACATTTTTTACTTTTTGCATTTTTGTACCACCACCACTGATCTTAGCAATATATGACATAATATATTTTACTGAAACTGTTTTACCGGCACCAGATTCTCCACTGTAAAACATAAATAAATAAAATAATTAAATTATGCGTAATTTTTTGTTGATTACATTAAAAAAATTTATTATATTTTAAATATTAAAAAAATTAATAATAAGACATATTAATAATAATAGATATTAAAAAGGATTTTATATATATAAAAAGATATTACTAAATATTTTTATTTTCTATGTTTTACATTCTCTGTTTTATTAGCTTGAATTACTTTGCGTTATAAATCATTGTTCTATTTGTATTATATTATTTTAAATTTTACAAATCTCGGATATATAAAGTTATTTTATTTTCCACAATCCTAAAGGTTATATAAAATTAAAATTGATTTTTGTATAATAAAAAAAAAATTTTTATAATAAAAAAAAAATTAAAAATATATTAGTATAAAAAAATAGAATTATCATTNTAATAAAAAAATATTTATAATATATATATTTTTTAATAAATTTTTTTTTCCAATTTTATTATTATTTTTTATATTTTTTGATTTCTTAGGACAATTAAACATGATTCAAACAAAATGACTTTTAAACTCTCTTAAACAATTAAATAAGCGATACAAATATTAAATTGAATTTTTCGAAAACTACTTTGAAAAAAAAATAAAAAATTTATAATCTTATATATTGTTATATTATTTTTAATAATTGTATTTTTAATATTGTATTTTTAATAATTTCATTACTTTCTTGTCGCAATATGTATTTATCTTGGGAGTTTTTAAGTTAATATTATAAACGTAATTTGCAAAAACATAATTTACAAATAAAAATATAAAAAATGTATAATATATATTTATAGATAATAAAGATTTAATAAAGATTTTTTAAACGTTTTATTAAAAAATTATAACAAATATTGAACACAATATGTCTAATTCTAAATTCTAATTAAAAAATATAAATTCTAAATTAAAAAATATAAACAATGTATATAAACTATTTCATGAAAAACATAAATTTTATCTGAATTATAAAATTATTTTACCTAATAATAACACATTGACTTTCCTTATCAATTAACATATTTCTATACATATTGTCTGTTAATCCATAAATATGAGGTGGATTTTCATATGGTACCTGACATAAAAAAAGGCAACAATTAATGTAATTGTATATAAATATCATGTAAAAATAAATTCATAATTTAAAAAATAAATAATTTATTTATTATTACTTACTGCTCCTTGATAAATTTCTATCTCTTTTTCACCAAAATATGGCATTTGTTTAAAAGGATTAACTGATACTAATACAGGACCAATACTTGTCTGATAATTATTAAGGAAATTATTTTAATTTTTATCATAGAATTAAAATTTATTTCATATTTGTTTCATAAAATTTATTATCTATACGTATTGAAATAATAATTATAGTAATTATAGTAATGAAACATTTAAGATTAATATTACAAAAATATTTTTATCCTATGAATTTCTGACTTCGAACTATTGCTATATTTTTACAATATCTATTTTAAAATCTTTAATATATATAGTATTAATAAAGTATTCAATTGATTCAACAAATTTTTTAGAAAAATTTTTTTAAAAATAATAATTAATATAATAAAATGTAATGAAATAATAAATAATGTAATGTAATGAAAATAGAAATTAAATATATCATCACAGAATTCATATTACGAAAGCAATTTATTTATATTATTGAAAATTTTTATTATTCAAAGTATCAAATTCAAAATATTTATTATTAATATAAAATATAATTATTAACAATAACTATTTATTAAAGTGAAATGAAATATAGAGAAAACATTTCTTTTTATTATTGATCGCATGCTAAAAAATATATTAATATTAATATTAAAAAGCATGTTTATATGAATAAATATGAATAGTAAGATGGAATAAAAAAATCATTATTGTATATATATATTTAATTGCTTTTATAAAGTACAAAAGCTAATATTTCTTTCAATGCAATTAAGATTGCAATATCTCATTATGTATTATTTAATTAATAATTTTTTACATAAGATTTTATATGTGTCAAAAGAATTTATATATATATTAATAACATCAATATCAACATCAATACTGTTATTTTACAATTTATTACAATTTATTACTGTTATTTTACATATTATTACAATTATCGCAATAATATGTGTTCATGTGATATGTAAAATCGATAATAGTTATTAATATTCTTTTTACTTAATAGTTGTTAATATCTTAGATAAGAACGAACCACATAATATCGCTATGATTGTTTCTTTGTTTTTTTGAAAATAACAAAGATATTGCGCAGCAAAAAAATTGCTCATCAATATTGAAAGTTATTATCTGTATTAACGCTTCAATAATTAGAACTAAGGTTATATATATTATTATAAATATTGAAAATGACGTCACAATGTCAACATTGCAACATTCTCTACATAAAATATGAAAAAAATGTATAGAATGTTTTTTGTTTTCTTATATTAAAAAACCTACAATAATCTTGATCAATATTTTTTTTAGTATAATTAATAACATTCTTTATCATTATAGTGCATAATTATAATTAATGTATAGTTAATGTCTAATCCTTACTTCTAATCTTCATTACAAATGAAACAAAATTTCTCTATATTTTTCTTCTATAATTTTTGAAAGAGTAAAGATTTTAAAAAATCTAAAAATTAAATTATAAAAAAATATTTTGAAAATCATAATGATAATTAAAAGATTTCATTGATAAAATATCCCCATTTGTAATATAATAATTAAAAACAAATGCTTAAAAAACTGTTACTATACATAAAATATGATTTTAAAATTTGATCTGATGGTATAATTGTAGAAAAGTATAGAAATTCAATGGAAAAAAATTGCTAACATTTTCACATAAGAAAAAACATATAGGAAAACAAGGAACATTTTAAATATTGTATTCACATCTTGTATTGTTTTGTATAGAATCAATCTTACAAATAATATCCTTCTATTATATGCATACAACGTTGGTAATTGCTATGATATGAAAAATTGATATTCTTAATTGGTCTTTCTTTATTTTCCTATATAACTGAAATTGATACTCATTCGATTGATGTAAAAATATAAAATTATTGAATATTATTGATAAGTAAAATTGAAAAACGTCATATTTTATAATTTTCAAAAATAATAAAAAGTTAATATTTAATAATATAATATTTTCTTTTTATTTTTTTAGATATTTTTTTCAGCTTATTTTTATATTTCATATAATTAAAAAAAAAACATTTTATAAAATATAATAATTTTCAAATCTAAGTTTTCCCTTTGATCATCTTTCAAAAAATGATAAATAATAATTAATAATAAATAATT